TTTCTGCATGTGGTTTTTTGTTTCCAATTTCAACTTTATATTTGTTCTTTTATGATTTAGTTTTGTTATTTAGCTTTAGTTTTGGAAGTTGCTGTTAAAGGTTTTGTGATGTTTTCCAAGTTCAGTATTAGCAAATTGCTGGTCATTCCTTTATTTTCTAAGTTTGACAGCAACATTGTGGTTTGGAACTTTATTTTCTTATTTAATGTAAGCTTAATGTGAGTTGAATTCTATGTTGGTGTAGGCCATTGACACTTGCTTAAGAGCGAAGCTTAGGAGAACCACAGCTGCTAAGGAGAAGGAACTTTCAAATTGTGAGTCTATTTCTCAATTTTGATCATTATTAATTGAATTCTGTGTTGTATGAACTTGTTTGTTTGCTCATCAATCTGCTGTTTTCCTCCCCTTACAATCAATAATTTCATTTCTTTCACTTTTGGCTTTGAGGTTATGTCTTAAGACCGTTTCATTTCCTTTTTCTTGATCTGTATGTTTACATGCTTCCTTCTTCTCTCTATGTTTTTCCTGTTTTGTTTGCCAGAATTTTCATAACTTCATTATCTTTTCTCCGTTCTGTATTTACGAAAGCAGGGTAGTTAATTCATATTATTGCATTATGTATAATGTTTTAAAAGCTAACAAAGCAGCTGCGTGCAGCTCATTGATACAATATACCTTTAAGCTGTTAGATTTTTATTTTTTTAGGTATTAATTTAACTAATTTCACATTGAATTAGTAACATAAACTTCAGCTAATTGATATTTCTAACGGATGCATTGGCATTATTTGCTTTTAGAAAACTTTAGTGTTGGATGCAGTGTTGGTTTTGTCAATTTGTCATTTGTTGGCATATAGTAAGGCCTTCTGTTCTTTCTACTGTATGATTATTTGACTGAGTGCATTCTATGAGCAGTTTTGATTTCTGGGTCTGCTGTTTATGGATTCAGAAATGATGGGTTTGGTACATGTTTGGCTAAGACCAGTGGGTCCTGAACTACTATTTAATGGTAGTAGTTAACTAAGTTTAGGCCAAATGGGTTTTGTATTGTTGACTATATGAGATTTTATAACAGATTAGATAATTTTCCCATTTTGTTCAAGCAAAAATACTTGAAGAAGACCCCGCCTATTTTACATCCCATTTTGTTGCTATTTTTAATGCATTTGGATTAGCAAATTTTGACTACTCCAGTCCAGGGAAAGGAGCTCTGAGTCTCTCGAAATTTTATTTTTAATTTCTATTGCCCCATCATCATCTGTCTTTCAATTGGTTTTTACTGTAGTTCTTACTGTGGAAAATAATGGCTCTGCATCTGCTAGATAAGTTAGCTAATCATTGGCATTGCAATTGATGCTTGATATTTTAGTTTTTGGGCCAGGGTGATTAACCATTAG